TGTAGTGATTAAAAAATTATAAAAAAAATTTACTGATCTAGATTTATATAATACTATTTGCTGTAAAAATTTTAAAGTTATATCTTTTCAATTTAAAAAGTTAGAAGGGGTGGGATACTTATGACTTTGACTGTATATATATATAGAAAAATATTAAAAACTAATGTCATATAAGACTTTAGTACAAATCTATAATAAAGTTATTAGTTATATTAAACTAAATATCTAAAAAATTAAAAGTCTATGTAAAATTTTTAAATAAAAAAATAATATAAACTTTTAAAAATATAGTTTAACTAATAAAAGTTTAATTATTTTTTTTTTATATTAAACTAGTCTCTTTGAGGTTGAGACTTTTTATTTAGTAATTAGAATATAAGAATTCATAGCTGAGACTTTAAGGAAACTACCTTTATATTAGAGAATGTAACTAGCCATACATACACTTTTGGTATCTAATTTAAGTAGTCTGCTGATGGTTCTATACTAGCTGCTATATCTGCAACCCAACTCAGAGCATTGCTTATTTAAATCCTCTGTACTACAATTTTATTATATCACTAGATCATCTCTAATACATATATTAGTTAAAAAGATCTAAATGCTTACTTGTACTTTTAGGATCTTATATTTTATTTCATACAATGTATCTTTAGAAGCATTGTTACTAGAGCTTTTTGTATCTTATATACAACTAACCTAGTTTTATATAATATGCTATAGTTATCTAATACTTGCAGTCAGGGCTAACCTTAAACTGTTATGTTATATTATTTCTATTCTTGTAAAGTTTATCCAAACTCCAGTACCTATTTTTCTGATATCTTCTTTATTATTTTCTACTAACTACAACTCAGAACTAACAGACTTCTTAGATTTTCAATCCAGATGGCCTAGTATAATATACCTTAGTATTCTTTTCTTTTAGTAATTCTAGTAACCTAGTTGATTATATGCTCTTCTATATATCTTTGTTATTCAGTTTTATTTATCTGTTTCTATAAAGATATTTTATAGGCTTCCATCAGTCTAATAGTACTAGCAAAAGTTTATACTACTTCTTCATTCAGAAATTTCCAAATAAGATTTCATCTTCTTAGTTTCTTAGTCTTCTGTGATTGATAATCTTATCATAGATTTGTATTAAAGTTTTATACAACACTGATTATTAATATTCCTCTATATATATGTAACATTATATTTTGCATAGATGCTCTGAACTTCCAATAACATGTAAAACCCAACTTGATGTACCTGGATTACAGCTGTATGAGATCAACTGATCAACAAAAGACAGTTTCTGTAATACAGATTAATTTCCTGCTACTTAGAAACTAATAACCTTACTACTATACTAGAATTGCTATCTTTATTGATAAAAGTTTTAAAAAATCCTTAAAAAGAATAGATAAATAAATTAAATAATAAGTATATAAGAAAAATATATTTATCAACTAGATTGTTAGATTTGATAAAAAAAAAATATCAAAGTATATAATTTAAAGTCATCTAAATTATTATTTAGAAACTTCTGTAAATCTTAAATAAAGAAAGATTAAATAAGATAATATATTATAAAAATAGGTACTATGATTCTAGTAAACTTTATAAAAATAAAAATAATGCAATATAATGAGTTAACAAGTAATATTTGTAACTGCAAGTATTAGTCTAACTATAACATAATACATAAAACTAAATCAATTATATATACAACACAAAAGGTTTTAGTAAGTCTGTTAAAAATAAAGTAATTCTATAAGCAATGATATGCATTAGGTATTTTGAATAGGTGTAACCTTAAAGATAAAAACAAGATGTATTACATATGCAAAAGGTTTAAATAAGCAAGACTCATAGTTGACTTGTAGGTATAACATCTAATATAGTAATATATAAGTGAACTACTTAAATTAGGCACTAAAAGTACACGTGTAACTAGCTGTAACCTTCTATATGTGAACACGTCTAGAGGCATAACATTGGTATTAAAAATAAATAAAAATTACGATTCCGAACATAATGATTGATATGTATTAGTGTTGGCTAAACTTTTGTAATGTCAGTGAAATTATCACGTGACAATGCACTATTCATTGTAAAATTGTAACATCCCTAAAAATAGCGTTACTAGCTATTTTCTAGAAAATAGCGCTATTTTAGATGCTACGTATAAAACTTCACTGCCTCTGGGTCAAACGTTATACACTGCAGTAGATATAATAGAAATTACGTACATTTTATATAATACGTACAGTACGTATAACACAGATACCGATACGCTGTAAACATACGGAATAGGAAATAAACAAAAATGAGAAAGAAAATAAGAAATAAAAGTATTCTAGTATTTTATATTTGCTACTAATAGGCCTCAAAAAAATTAATAATAACTTAATCATATCGTCTACTTTATTGAAAATTTAAAAATAGCAAACGCTTTCCTATAAAAAAGATAATAGCCGATATTTTGCTGGCAATATTTGGAGGAAGTCCATTCATATTATTATTGATTTTAGCGAGAAAAAAGTGTAAAGCTAGGATATGTGTGGTCACGATAACATAAAAAAACACAATTAAGCAACAAGGATATGGATGAAAACATTTACACATATATTTCCAGCAACACATGTGATAGCATATTAAATATGCTGTAGTAAATATCATCATGGCTGCTATTTCAACAGCATTCTTGTACGGATCGAAAATAATCGCACCTAGACCTATCCAACCGATCATATGCAATATAACAGTTAACGAAAGTCCGCAAACGCGATAAGTTTTTTCTAAATCATCGCCAACTTTACTAGCATAACCATCGTTGGCTATCTTAATACTCCAAGGAATGAGTTGCCCTATTGCTATTAATACCGTTGTCCAATTTGTATGGCAAGTGACAATTGAATAGATAACTGGGAGAATTACTTTAGCAGACTTAAGGAGCAACTCTCTTGGCTTTGGTCTTTCGTACTTTTTACCCCATTTCCAAGGTGAATATAGGGGAATATTTGCGTAGGTTAAAGCGATCTCCACAATTGTTATAAACCAGTCAATTGTTCCGAATGTCCCATATGGCAATCCGTAACATAATGCTTCATCTTTCAATCTTAGTTTACTTGATTCAGTTAGTCTGCTGAGCAAATCATCGTATGCCTTCGTACTATTGTCTATGACAGATAAATAATTTTAACGGGTGTTTTTTTTAGTGCATGTTATTTTTTAATATCTATGCATTCATCTTTTAAAGGATTTTGCTATCCCATATCGGATTAAACTTACCGTCCATTTTTTCATTAAATATGAAAAGAATAACAACGCGACGTTCCTTATGACAATTATTTTCTAAGATTCAGAAAATTTATGAACTATCTTCAATTTATTATATATTGTTTTGTTGTACACAGAATTTAAATGCTTTACTAATTATAATCAGGCGAATGTGTTCACAGTAATTTAAATTAATGAAATAATGTGCTTGTAACATGGATATCCTTTTTCTACACTAATATAATATAAGAGCATAGCAAAAACGTACCAATAACAATGCCAGGAACATTGGCAAATGTGTACCAGGTTAGTGCGGCATAATAACTGGATAAGAACTATATTCACCGAAGATTCTTATTAGAATGATCTTTGCACTTGTAAGAATATTATCATTGTGTTACGGATTGAAATGGTAAGATGAACGAACACAAGAAAAAAAGGGGCAAGACAACTCGTCAGAGGTGCGATTACGGTGATTTGGGACGCTTCTTTATAAATTTATATAGGATCTTTATGCACTACTTCCTCGCACATAAGAGTTGACGCCTTTTAAATATCTTCTTTGGTGTATGATTAGAAAGGCTGTGACCATGCTTTCGCTGATGCTTCGTCTAGAATTTCAACAGGTCGCCACACGTATCTTTAATTGAGAATGTTTAGCTTCGTGTCTGTTTACTCGGCCCAATTATTATCAATTCAGCAAAAAAGCCTCATATATCATGAAGATTTAAAGCCCTGATCTTTGGGAGTCTTAATTTTCTACTCACGGGATTTATGGCGCAGTTTCATCTTATTTTCGAAAACGTCGCTTTTAGCCCATAACAATTCATTTTTGCAGATTTGCTCTGAATGATCAAATTTCTCATAACAATTACCATAATTTTCGACTAATAATATTCCGGGTCTCTTTCCCTAGGCCTTTAAATTGATTAGTACCAAATTTGTCTATCTTTATTACTAATTACAGTATGAAAGATTAAACTTAAACTAAACCAAACTTTGAGCATATTTGAGTTTAGTTTGATTTCAAACCTAAATCTACATATAAACTATATTTGAAATCTATTTAGTTTGGGTTTAAGGTTAAACTTTTAAAATTAGTTTGATTGTGCTTTTGGAAGTGATAACTGGAAGTTTGGATTTGTGTTTTGCTACGATAAGATATTTTGATAGAATCTTATTACATATGTTGCAAGATAAAACTATATTGTGTATTCAGTATTCAAAAATAGATAGAATTATATTATTAATAATATAATTAAGTTTGTTTGTCTGTTATTTGTTTAGTTTGTATATTTGTTAATCCAAGTGTATTTTGTATAATTAATTTAGATATAATGAATTGTTTATTGGTTGCTATATATTAGCATCTTAAAAATTTTAGAAACATATTAGAAGTTTGTGTTTGTATTGTAATATTTATAAAGTTGAATGTAAATATAAGTTTTATATTAAATATTAAGTTAAATTTGTTTGAATTGATTTTGATATTTGTTATTTTATAAAATATTAATGTTGTATTTATAATATTTTTAAGTTGTTGTTAAGAGTTTGCAATTTACAGTGTTATTTATATAAATAAAAATAAAAGTATTTGTTTGTATTTATTGTTATTTAAGCATACTCTTCCTGATGATCACTTAAACCAAACCAGCATCAAAACAGTTTGAAGAGTTATGTTTTTAAGATAATGATATCTTTGATTCTGTTTAGATATATAAAGCAGATTGTTGCTAATGAACTAGAAGTATGTGAAAAAACTGAGGTGTGGGTGGCTCTTCTGATGGTTTGTGTTGAGGTCAAGCTTTGTCTGTTAGTGGACTTTCCAACATGTTTAGTATCCAAACCAGAAGGATATTCTGGAAACAATAGAGAAAAACTCTGATTAAAGGTTATCAAAAGCTTGAAAACAAACAAACAACTGGAAACACACTCTTTGGTTTGGCTTTTTATATATCACATCTGTTGATCTTCTTTAACTATTTTATTTTTCTTATTCAAAAATAGAGAAATTGACTTCCTCCTACAAAAGATCGGCATTGTTTACTACATCCTTTTTCAGACAGTTACATGTTGTGACATGATGTAATAAGAACACAACAATACATGTATGGTCTAATATATGATGTAATGAAGAAACGAAAAAGGATTTAAGTTGGAGGATTATAGCAAATTAGAGATATATAGTAATTCCTAAAATCATGTATATAAAATTTTTACTCCTTTAGTACAGGTTAAAGTGTAGTTAGATCTTTAGTACAGGTTTAAAATACTAGTGTCCTAAATGGTCATGTATAAGGTGTGCTCCCTGACATTTTTTTTTCTTTTCTTTTTTCTTTCTGTATTCCTTTTTAGTTTAGTTTAGTTTAGTGTTTTTTTTCTTCTTTCACTTCCCTATGAGAAAGTGTTATCAGATTGGTAATATTCTATTGTAGAGCGGTAGTCAGATGAGCCCCCAGATCTCCTTTTTTTCTTTAAAAGTTAGGCAACTGGTGTGGCAGATCACTTGTAAGTACTCATAGAAGTAACTATGGAATGTCAATTAGCATATTAAGTCTAAAAATATTTATATATATAAACAAAAATCTTAATTAAGAGTATCAACAAGACTGCCAAAATAAAAAAAAAAATTTGTTGTTATTTAAGAAAAAATAGTGATATTGGTTTTGTTGTAATAATAATATATTTTTTACATTATTCTTATTTTTTTTTAAACTTTGGTAATATTGCCAGTTGGTTTATTAAGTTCTAAATTTAATATAGTACAATTAACAATTATATTTATAGAATCAATTATTACTAGTACTATATTTGCTATTTTAATTTTATACTACAGATTTTACTTAGTTATCTATATGACATCTAAGTCTGTGTTTGTTATATGTTTATATACAATTACCTTGACAACCATTTGCAGTTAAGGTATACTATTAAACTACTATATAAACAAAGATATTTTTAAAACTTAATGTAATATTTTAAATATTAAGAATACGTCTTTCATAATCATATTCATATGTTTTCTTATATGTTTTATCTAATTTTGGTTCTTTTTTTTTTTAAAGTAATCTCTTTAGTTTTTTGATTTTTATTAATAATTTTTTTGATAATGTAATTCTATGAATCACTATGAGAAGAGTATATAATTGATTATATATATAACTTTTTTATATTATCTATTTTAAGAAATCTGCCTAAAGGTTTTTTACTAATTGTTATATTTAATATTCTTGCTTAAGTGTTCTATTTTAAATTCTTTAAATCTGCAATCTGTATTAATATTACTAGATTATAACTAGCTTATTATCTTAATTTTATAACTATTTTATCTTTTAAATAAATCTTTTAAAATCTTTTATATCTATTTTTACAACTAACCTAGTATTGTTATAATAGAACTAATACTTGCAATCAAAATTAGTTATTGAACTGCTATGTTTTTGTAGAGTTTATTCAAACTCTAGCATTTACTTTATAGCATATCTTTAGTTCTTTAGTATACCTTTGTTTATTTTTTAGACTTCTAATTTAGATAGTTTATATAAAACTACAACCAATTTATTAGTATATCAAATTAGTCTGATATTTTTTTCTTTAGTTTATTTTAGTAGTCTGATTAGTAGTATTTCTTATTTAGAAGTTCTTGCCTGTTTAGATATTTTGATATTAATATCTATTTCTAGTAGTTTAGTCTTTACAATAGTGTTATTAAAAATTTATATTATTTCTTTATTTAAATCTTTTCATATAGACTTTTTGTTTCTTAATTTTAATAAATTTATACAGTTATAAGAACTTATTTAAAGCTTGTATTATCTAATACTTTTTTTTTTTTTTTTTTTTGTTAAAGGCCATACTTGTGGCAATACTTTATTGACTTTATATTGGGTTAGCTATTACAACTATTTTTACAGAGATAAGAGTACAGCTAGTCATATGTACAACTTTTGGTTGCCTATTTAAGTAGTCCACTCTAAGGTTTTACACTAGATGTCATACCTATAACCTACTAGGAGATTATCTATTTTAAACCCTCTGATCATCCATCCTGTCATATTGAAATCCTCAATTATCTAATACTAATTTGCATTTTTCTGTATAACTAATTATACAGTTATTCTATAACTTGTTAGTTATGCTGATATGTTTATTATTACAAGTATCTTATTTTAATTATTTTTTTTGGTGTTAAGGTGAGGCCTTGCTCATATCTTTATTAATAATTTTAACTATATATTTAAGTACAGGAGTACTAAAATAAACTAAGGTTGTTTGTAATAAAATAAAAATTATATGCAAGAATAAGAGCTCAGACTAGTTTATCTGCAATCTAAAACAATATTCTAATTATTAAAAACAGTCATAATATAAGTATTATATAGATAATTATCTAAATATTTATTGTTAATAAGATTTAAACATCTAATCTACTACTTGGTTGATTGATAACTTATTTACTTTACTAAGTTATCACATTTTCTAGTTTTGTTTTTTCTGCCTTCTAATTTAACTATATATATATATATTTTTTTTTTAATGTTAAAACAAGTAATTGTGACTCAGGAGTTTATTAATAATCAGTCAGCATATAACTATTGTATACAACAACTACAGAGGCAATTATAGAAAGAGTATACAACTAGCCACTTATACAACTTTAGTTATTGTCTATTTTAAGTAGTCCACCCAAAGGTTTTATACTAGTTGCCATATCTAGAACCTGCCTGTAGATTCTCTATTTAAACACTCTAGTTCCTGTATTTATCTCTACCCTATCAACTGCAGGATTACTGCAAATATACCATAGTTACTAAGTTATATTTAACTTTATACTAAGCCCATCAGAAGCTTATGTATTCTATACTTACAGCTAACCTAGTACCACTCTGGCTTAGACTATTACTTGCAATCAGGGCTAATCATTAAACTGCTATATTCTTGTAAAGTTTGCTAGAACTCTAATATCTTCCTTTTCCAATATCTTTTCCTTACTCTAAACCTACAAGATTTCCCAAACTACTAATCCAGATAGCTTGGTATAGTATCCTAAGATCCTTTTTCTCTGGTGATTTCTGGCAGCCTGGTTGGTATGTGCTTCTCTACATATATTATTATCCATTCTATCTTAGTTATTTCTTCTGAGGCTTCTGATAGTCTAGTAGTACTATTGAAAGTCCATGCTACCTCTTTACTCAGGATTTCTAAGTAGATTTTCATGCTCCGGTTTCTTAGAATTATGTGCTTGGTGGTCTTATCATGAGTTTGCACCAAAGTCTTATGCAACACCAGTTATTTAAATTTCTCTATATATGTATAACATTATACTTCGTATAGATGCCCTGAGCTCTCATTCGAGATAGTGCATCTAAGATTACAGATTATCTTCTGTCATCCAACTGATCGATGAGACACAGTTACTATAACACAGATATAATTATTTAAATTTTGCTGTTTATGGGATTTAAACACTAGACCTGCACTTGGGGGTTGATAATCTGTTCACTTTACTAGGTCATTATATCCTATTTAACTATATTTAGTAATATCTTGTTTCTTATATTTCTTATTTTTTGGTACTATAACATTTTCAAATTAGTTCTATTAGATATATCTAATTCTTATAATCTTTAATCTTTAATATATCTGTTATTAATTTCTTTAAAATGTTTTAACAATAGTCTAAAATTTGTAATATATTTATATCTTAAATTATACTTACTATTATCATTAGTCTTTTACTAATTTGTATTTCAAGTTAAATTTATTAATATTGTTTTTGCAAATGCTTAGATATTAGTAATTTAGTATTACTTTTAATCTTTAATAAAATGCTTTCTTCTATAATAAAAACTAAAACTTGTTATACTTACAAACAAAACAATTCTAATTATATTTAAAGAGTTTTTTTAACTTTGATAATACTATATTACTATATATTACAAGCTTTTAACTTATTTAATAATATTTGCAGAATAATTCTAATTATGTTTAGAGAATTATACTAATT